TAGAATTAAAATGATACTTTAGTGTTATTATAATGAAACTAGTATATGTGAAAAATGAAACTAAAATACAGAGCTCGTTAAGTAACATATATTGTCAAATGAAATTGTAATATATTTAAAATGATACTTTAGTGTTTCTGTAATAAAAATAGTGAAGATGAAAACAATGCCAATGTTACTCAAAAGAGAATTAAGAATATTTAGAAACATTCAAACCAAAAATAATATTTACTTAGGCTATCATTTTTACACCGAATATTTAGGTAGACTATCGATTTTATAAAGTTGTAAACATTTATCGTAGTGACAATTATAATGAATTTCCTATATTATCTTACATTCATATACTTTGAGTTACATATTTAATTAAACAAATTCGACATTCAATTACGTATGTATAAACTTCTCCTATATGATCTTGCATTGATATACTTTTAAATATTTATTTAAATATAAACATTGGACATTAACACATTCACATAATGCGCATGTAAAACTAATAACGTACTGATGCGAATCTTATTAGCCCGATCTTTTCTTCGCACTCTAATTTAAAGAATATTTTAAAATGGGTTTATTAGGCTAGGTGAAATCGGATATGAAGGTTTAGCTTGGGCTAGGAAAAGGGCTAATTTTTGGATGACACCGGGTTATAAGGTGATATGTAGGATAAGAATGACGCCACAAGTGAGGTTCCACACTTGATAAGTCAGGTTTGCAATGACCAACTCACGGCCGAACTCATTCCGAGTTTCAGAAAACACTCAGTTTTCTAATTCAAAAATTCTCAACTCTGTTTTTATTCATATAAGACAACTGTATTTATAGTTGTAGAATCCTAGTTTCGTTGGACAATTCCCAAGATAACTAGAAATTCTAACAAACTACAAACAAATTAATCATGATAAACATGAATAACAAATAATAATGAAACCTAAGATAATAATAATAATAATAATAATAATAATAATAATAATAATAATAATAATAATAAAAACTCCTAAATCTAATTTAATACTAACTAACAATAAATAGTATATTTAAATTCCAAATTAACTAACAAAATAATTAATATAATAATTTCCTAAAAACTAATTAATTTAAAATTTAGCACCATAATTTATTAACAACTCAATCATGTATGGCTCCTGTATTCGCAATACGTACATATGTATAACATACGTTGAACGTATATAAAACACACACACACACACACACAAACACACACACACACACACACACACACACACACACACACACACACACACACATATATATATATATATATATATATATATATATATATGTATGTATGTATATGTATAGCCAAGTTCTAGTGCGGCCAAGCCTTAACGTGCGGTCGGTGCGGCCGTACCATTAGGTATGCAAACACGCACCAATAGTGCTAGAAAATGCATAACAAAAAAATGATGCAATGCACCAAAAAGGGCACCATTAGGTGTGTGTCACCACAAAACGTACCGTTACGTATGCATAAATGTACTACACAGTGTTCGAAAATGCACAATTAAGTGTGAAAGATACATTGCATTTTTTTTTTTGAGTGTGTGGTGTAACACCCCCGATTTTTACCATATTTTTAAAACTTAAATGCACAAGCAAACACCTAAATATCAAGACATAAAACAATGGAAGCTATATAAAACTAGGGTATGTTATGCCACACCTATCTCAGATATAGGTGCACAGGCGGGAAAACTAATCAATTCAACAAGTCATAACGAGTCAAGGCACACAGGCCGCTCATAAGGCTCACAGGCCATCAAAACATAACGTCTAGACAAGGTAACTAAGCTATCTAACGATCCACGTCTAGCGCTCTCAAACATCTACTCAATACCTGTAGAACAAGGGAAAAACATGGGGATAACACCCGGTCAGAGAACATTGCTGGTAACCCATCAATATGCGTTAAATAGCATATATAGATAAGTATAAGTCAAAACCATTTTGAAATGGAATACAGTATATATCATTTCAAAAGCCATAGAGAGAAGTTAACTTCAAGGACTCATTAACACTCTCAAAAGGAAAAGGAATCACCATCCTTACAACAACAACAAGACAAGAAACATGAAGGACAATACAACTCAAGATGCATTCTACTGATCAGAAAGTAGAATACACACATGCTCATAAGCAAAGATTACACATTCACATAACGACAACTACATGCCGCAGTGACAACTACATGTCACAAGTAACATAGTTCCAAGTTCCAACCTTATGCCCTGTTCCAACCTTATGGCTACCCCTTGCCTTATTTCAGTTCCAACCATTACCTCCGAGTAACCCCTGTACTTCTGAGTCCAACCTTATGCCTCCGAGAACCGTCGTTCCCCCACCAACATTTCCACCAACATATCAGTACACGAGGGTACGATTCATTTCACACAACCACCAACACGTGAGCTAAGCTCAAGTAACAACCACCAACATATAGATCATAGTCACACAAGTCATCATCATTACCAAGAAGACTAAGGTTCCACAATAACCTTAATCAAGTATCAATCAAAGGGTACAACGATTACATACGTTCACGTCATAGGAATCAATCAATGGATCACAACAAAGACATGGAACCATACTCAACAACGAAGGATCACAATCCAACACCAAACGATTGTCAACACAAGTTGCCAATCCCAATAGGAAAGAACAAACCACACATACTAGCATTTCAACATCAAACTAGCATGCTTATCAAACGGTTAAACCAAAAGTAGTTCCAAAGAACATTCAAGACTCACAATTAGCCCAACGAATCACAATGTTGGACCTTTAACACGATTCAAGACACCAAATCCTACATGTATTCCTAACATACAGTTCTAGACATACGAGACATCAAGAAGACTCACAAATAGCCCAATAAAACAACATTGGGAGGTCAAAACATCAATACCAAGTCAAAAGAATCACGGGGAACAAATCCCCGCCAACAACCATACTTGTTCCCCGCGGGTGGGGCCACGGGTGGACCTCCACCCGCTGTTCCACCCGCGGGTACATAACCCATGAGCCATCTATTCCCCGCAGGTGGGGCGGCGGGTAGGCCTCTGCCCACTGTTCCGCCCGCGGGTACCACCCTGTACACCAAAATAATCCCTTCGGGGATTTTCAACAACAAGTCCAAAACACCCAAAATCTCACACACAACAACAATATGACTTGAACCCAAGAAATAGCCAAGCAATGGCATTCAAGAACCCTAAGAACAAGCTCTAAACATGCATCACCACAAGACAATGCATCAAATCTCACAAATCAACACAAGGATCACAAGTAGAAGCCAAGAATCATCGTATAAGTAAGAAAATATGTTTTGTAAAGCATGGGTTTCCTTTGTAGCCTAATAACTTCTTCTTTTCACCCTTAGAAAGCCTTTCCTAAAGCTCCTCTTCCACACCAACTTCATACACAAACCAAAAGACAACAAAGATTTTATCTTTAGAAAAAGACACCTAAAAGGAGGTTAAAAACACCAAAAGACCAAGGATCTTACCCTCCCCTATGCTCAAGATGAAGAAAGTAGGAATCTTGGAAGACAAACTTGCAAGACTTGGGTGCTCAAATCCTAGCTTGGAGAAGAAGCTACACCTTTTTAGGGAGAAGCTAGAGATTTTGTGTTTAGATTGTAGGGTGAATGAAATGAAGGAGTGTTGCTAGGTTAGCTTGAACCACAAACCTTAGATAGAAAGATATCCCTACCCTTACTAAAGTTGGGAAGACAAGGGAACAAGGACACAACTCAAGAAGCACAAGGTACAACCATTTGACTTAAGTGACTAGTCAAAATCTAGTCCCTCGACTATTGAATTTCATGATTTTTAGGATTAAATTAACAAAGAGACTAGGATTAATTCTCTAATTAATCCTTGATTAGAGTTTGGATTTAGGGGGTATCACATGTGGTCCGTTTTGTGGTGCATTGGTGTATTTTATTGTTGTGCATTTTCTAACATTATTGGTGCGATTTTACATATGTAACGGTGCGGCCGCACGTTAAGACATGGATTTAATTGAGCTGACATATATAAATTCTCAAAAGTAGAAGTAATAAATTTTTTTTGTATGCATGTATTGATGAAGTATGTGAGGTATAAGTGATGACATCATGGTCCATTCTCAAAATTGTGACTTATAAAAGGACTTCGCTCATTAAAACAGTGATAGCATTCCCATTTCCCCTAAGCTAAAACCTTCTTTTGTTTTCAATTAACAAAGATGGCTTTTTCCCCATCTGTTCGTTTGTTTGCAACAACCTCACTCTTGGTGATGGTCCTCATAGCTTCTGGTTTGCTCTCTCCCTTTCTCCATTATATATTTCTTCTTTTTAACATGGTATGTATGCGATGAATTGAATTATTTCGAATCGATGTATCATTGGTGAGGGTTTTTTTTTTTTTACTCTGAAAGAGATAAAGATGTTAAGTTTATGGTAATAACTTATAGTGAAAATATAATGTTAATCTTGAATAAAGTATTTTCCAAGGCCAGGCCTCAGATCGCTCATGGGCATGCATGCTTTAATTCCCAAACATTTTTTATGAGAAAGGTTTAACACAGTGTTTAGAACGGAAGCCCGTGAATCATTTCTGGTAACTGCTTTGGTGAACAAGAAAAGAACAACTAACTGTTCTAAACAAAGATGGCAGAGCCTATATACAAGCTAAGGGGAAAGAATGGGCGCCAAAAGCCGTTGCAACAAATTGCAATACAAAAGACAAAAAAAAAAACCCTTCCATAAAGAAGGACTACCCTTCGTCTATGTGTTCTAATACCCCCCCGTAAGCTGGCATATACAAGTTTTGTATTCCCAGCTTAGACACATACAGCCGAAACTGTGGAGCAGCCAGTGCCTTGGTGAAACCATCAGCCACTTGGTTTTCATTTGATATTGGTAGCAGTTTTATGAGCCCTTGCTGCAGCTTCTCTCTCACGACATGACAGTCTATGTCGATGTGTTTAGTATGTTAGTGGAAAATGTGGTTCTCGGCAGTGGCTATGGCCGAGTTATTGTCACAGAATAGGGTAGCTGGCTTGTTCATTTCCACTTGTAAGTCTCTTAGAAGATATCCAAGCCATTGTATATCACATGTTGTGGCAGCCAAGGCCCTGTATTCAGCCTCGGATGAGGACCTCGAGACTGTGTTTTGCTTCTTTGATTTCAATGAGACAAGAGCATCACCTAGAAACACACAATATCCAGTGATGGATTTTCGGCTTTCACTGCATGCTGCCCAATCCGAGTCTGAGAAAACCTTCAGATGCAGCTGTGAATCTTTGGAGAAGAACAGACCTTGTCCTGTTGAGTGTTTGATGTATCTCAACACCCGGTGTGCAGCTAACATATGCTTATCCGTAGGAGAGCCTACAAACTAACTTAGTTGTTGAAAGGAGTAGGCAATGTTCGGTCTTGTAGCTGTGAGATACAACATTCTTCCCACCAATCTTCTGTAACTACTAGGATCCTCCAATGGTGTGCCATCATTCTATGACAATTTCAAACCTTGAGTCATGGGGGTGTTTGCTGGCTTACACTCAAGGAATCCTGCCTCATCCAAGATATCTAAGGCGAATTTGCATTGGCAGAAGTTTAAACCACCTTCGGCCCTTTGTGCTTCAATCCCCAGAAAGTAGCTTATAGGGCCTAGATCTTTTATTTTGAATGTGTCATCCAAAAACTGCTTAACAGAATTGATATTTTAGATGCTAGGACTAGCCGCAATTATGTCATCAACGTAGACTAACAAAACAATGAAGCTGTCATTTGTACCTTTGGTAAAGAGAGAGGGCTCAGACTTGGATTATTGAAAGCCAATCTAGACAAGCGCAGCACTAAGTTTTGCATTCCATTGGCGACTTGCCTGTTTTAAGCCATATAGGGACCGAAGTAATTTGCAGACTTGGTTTGGCTTTTCACTTTGGAATCCGGGAGGTAGAACCATATACACTTCTTCATTTAAATCACCGTGTAGGAAAGCATTGTTGACGTCCATTTGATGGATTTGCCAATCTTTGCAAACTGCTACTGCCAGCAGAGATCGAATTGTGGTTAATCTTACCACTGGAGAGAATGTTTCAAGATAGTCTACCCCTAGTTGCTGCGTGTAACCTTTTGCCACAAGCCTCGCCTTGTGTCTTTCTATTGTGCCATCAGATTTAAGCTTAACTTTGAAGATCTATTTGCATCCTATGGGTGTTTTCCCTGGGGGTAAATCAGTTAGCTCCCATGTGTTGTTGTCTTGAAGAGCCATAATTTCAGCACTCATGGCCTTTTTCCAACACTCGTGTTTGGTGGCTTGATTGTATGTTCGAGGCTCTTTGATTGATGAGACTGCCAGAGAAAAACTCTTGTGTGCAGTGGTGAGATTGTCATAAGATATCACCTTTGATAGAGGGTGAGGGGAGGTTCTGTTCTTCACAATAGCATCACAGTAGTAATCTAGAAGTTTGATTGGAGCATTGCGTTGTCTGTTTGACTTTCTGGGTTGTGGGAGCTCACTGGCATCTACTTCCGTACTGCATTCTTCACCATCACCATGAGGGGATAAAGTTCTCATGTCATTAACATCACTTTGGAATTCACATGCTGGTTCATCCAGCTCATGATGCTCAACAGATTCATGCATCCTTGTATTTCTGCTCACATTGTGGCATGGTCCTTCACTGCTATTATCATTTACACCATGCACATGTTCATTTTAGGCATGATTCAGATCTGGAAAAATGATCTCTTCATGAACAGAGATGGGGATATTTGGCAGAGGTGGATTGAGCATAGATTGGTCTTCCATGTGATAAGTATGATCATACATGGGGAAGTGATCTTCATAGATGATAACAGCTCTTGATATAAATGTGGTTTTGTCCTGCAAGTCATACAACAAATAACCTTTGATATTAGCAGGCATACCAATGAAAATACATCGTCTGCTACGGGATGCCATTTTATGTCGAGAGTGAGAGGGGGTAGCTGCATAACTCAAACATCCAAATACCCTGATGTTATCAAGATTTGGCTCTCTGCCATGCATTTTCTGGTAAGGACTTATCCATTCAGTAACGGGGGATGGAAGCCTGTTAATAATATATGTAGCATATATGACACATAAACCCCAGAATTCAAGAGGAAGCTTAGCCTGAAATCTGAGAGCTCTGGCAACGCTTAGAATGTGTTGGTGCTTGCGTTCAACCACCGCATTTTGTTGAGGTGTATGAGTGAACGAAGTTTGGTGGACTATGCTATTTTCAGCAAAAAATTCTGTCATCTTGAACTCCAAGCCATTATCTCTTAGAATAGTCTTTATAACCATTCCATGTTGAGTTTGTATCTGTTTATGGAAGCTTTTTATAACTGCTCTTGTCTCGGGCTTATTCTTCATTAGATGAATCCAGGTGTGTCTTGAATAATCATCCACCATGGTTAAAAAATACCTTTCTCCTCCCAGAAAAGGACCCCAGATGTCTACGTGGATCAATTCAAAACAACAGTTTGATGAGGTGCTGCTTAGAGGAAAAGATAACCGCTTCTGTTTTGCATAATGACACACATCACATGGCATATGCTTGGAATGAGAGGTAGTTATGCTCTTTATAAGACGAATTTTATTAAGGGGAAAATGCCCCAAACGTTTGTGCCAAAGTACATCACTATCACACTACAAAACAAAATGTTTACAATGGTTAATCTCTGGTGGTTGAAGCAGCAGATATAGCCCTTTATCTTCATTAGCAAAAACAGTGGTCTTCCCAAGATTCCGAAGTAGACACTGGCCATAATCAAATATCAAAGAGTAAGATGAATTTTGAAGCAATTTGCTAACTGATACAATATTAAATTTAAACTCTGGGATATGCAAGGCATTCTGCAACCATATGCCATCTGCTAACTTGATGTTTCCTTTATGTTGAACTGTGATTGCCTCCCCATTTGGTAGGTTTACCATAGCTCCTTCAATAATATGATAGTCATCAAAAAATTCGCGAGAGCATACTATATGATCAGTAGCTCCCGAATCTAATATCCATGTAGAAGCACAAAGGTTGACAGAATATATGTGAGAATTTAAGCTGTAATTGCCTTCATTATGTGACTCTGCTTTGTCGAACTTGGGGACCAAAGAGACTACTGCAGTCATAGAGGAAGGGTTCTGGCTCTGGCTTTGCCCTGCTTGAGTTTACAGAAGGGATATGAGCTTCTACAACTGCTCAGAGGTCACCAAGCTATCTTCTGAACTGGCAGCTGCTATGGTGTGCTGTTTACCTCTTGATTTGAACCCCGGTATCCACCTCGGTGGATACCCGTGCTTCTTATAGCACTTCTCTATGGTGTGTCCCATCATTCTGCAAAAGGTACATTTGGCATTTTTATTTCCACCATTGTGGTTCATATTCTTCTTACTATTGTACTGGTTCACCATGGCAACAATCTCTTCTGTAGTGGCTTGATTGTTTTGAACTGCATTGGCATAATTGATTTCCAGGCTTGGATTGGTTATGTTCAGCTGTCTCTCGAATTTCTCTGCCATAACAAATATTTTGTGCATTTCTGGTAGAGGATCCAGGACCAGGACATTAGATTTAAGTGAGTTGTAATCCTCAATCAGTCCCTGAAGGAACCGGATTATCTGATCGACCTCACGATCTTTTCTTACTTCATCGATCAAGTTGCACGAGCAGTGAGGGTTACATTTGCAGATCGGAAGCGGACGCAACTCATTCATCTCCTCCCACAGAGATTTGCTCTTGGTGTAATATTCATTCACGGACAGATTCCCCTGCTTGAGTCCGTAAATCTCGTTCTGAAGGATCGAAATGCGATGCGGATCGCGCTGCGAGAACAGCTTCCTCATATCGTTCCAAACGTCCTTCGCGGTCTCCATGTACATCACACTTTGGGCGATCGAAGGATGGATAGCTTTGAGAATCCATGCCTTGATCATTAAGTTGCACCTCTTCCATGCGCCATAGTGAATTCGATCTCTGTCCGGCGTCTCAATGCTACCATCAACGAGAGACCATTTGTTCTTCACTTCTAATGCAACTTGCATAGAAATGCTCCATGATCCGTAGTTGACACTCCCTACAAGAGGTGGACTAACCAGTACACTGTTTGGATTTTCATTGACGTTGAGATAGAAAGGGTTCTCCATGTCTTCAAGTTGGTTTCTCTGTGAAACACTTTGCAGAACTGCAGCTACCGGTGGCGGATTCATCGATGGAGCTCGAACTGGATTCGCCGGTTGCGATTCACCGTTGCTGGAGACTGCTGCAGCATAGGTGGCCCTCCATGGCTCTGATACCATGATGAGAAAGGTTTAACACAGTGTTTAGAACGGAAGCTTGTGAATCATTTCTGGTAACTGCTTTGGTGAACAAGAAAAGAACAACTAACTGTTCTGAACAAAGATGACAGAGCCTATATACAAGCTAAGGGGAAAGATTGGGCGCCAAAAGCCGTTGCAACTAATTGCAATACAAAAGACAAAAAAAAGCCCCTTCCATAAAGAAGGACTACCCTTCGTCTATGTGTTCTAATAATTTTCTTGCCAATCACCTTATGGCCTAGTGGCACGAAGTGGCACTCTCCCATATAGAAGGTCATGGGTTCGAGTCGTGGCACTCTCTCATATAGAAGGTCATGGGTTCGAGTTTCGGTGGGGCAGTGTAATTATGAACAGATACAGAATTGTAAAGTACTCAAATAAAAAAGAAAAAAAAAAAAAACCCATACATTTTCTTCTTCTGTGAATAGTGGGTGCTGCTAAGAGTCCTATAGAATGCTTGAGGTTGAAGGTGAAGGGATTATGTCTTCCATGGAATAATCAGAAATGCAATAAAGTTTGCCAGTCTGATGGGTATGAGGTCTCTGCCTCGATTTCATCTGCACCTGCATCAAGGATGGTTGCTTATCTACCAAAAAAAAAAAAGGATGGTTGCTTATAACTACCTTATCTAATATTGCATAGCTTCCTTCAACTTCAGTGTTATATATATATATATATATATATATATATATATATATATATATATATATATATATATATATATATATATATATGATCCATATATATAGCTAAATAAATAAAGGTCATAAATAATATAATCCAAACATGCATGCATGGTGGAGTTTTTCTTTTCTGCTTTGGTAGCAAGCAAGCTCCGATCCTCTCATGTTGTTTGGATTTGGTTGTTATATTTATATGCATTAACATGTTGTGTGTTTCGTATTCTTGTCAGAAGTTATGCAATTTATATATCGTGTCGAATATTGTTCACTGCACCAATTAATGTTCCAGGATGCCATTCTCTTATAGGATCTCCAAGGTATATAATTTCCCTTAAAGATATTGATTCCATTAGGAGATCTGAAAGTCTCAATGCCTAACGAGTAATTACGACCATTAACTAATAGCATCAAACAATAAAATCATAATTACAACACAAGTTATAATTCAAATAAAAATACATTAAGAATTATAGAACTAAGCACATAGGTTCATAAATACTTTCACCCAAAAATCTCTAAATTAAATTAGCCATGTGAGTTTACAAATAATCTAAAAGAGTAAAAGAATTAAAGCAAGTAATTCTCCTAAATATCCTTAGCTTTCTTCTAGCTTCCCAAGACAACTTGTAGCTCTCAATTCTCTTTTTTCATATCTCCTCAATTGAGCATAATTTCCCTAGGGTTGAACAAAGATGGGTTATTTATAGTTGAAGCTCAATACGAATAAATTAGGAAATTCCCACACAACTTTCCAAAATCTCACCCAATGACGTAGGTCTGGTTTGCAAGCTTATTTTGACCCTTTTCGCTTCTGATATAGGCTTTGATGTTTTTATATGAGTTGTAGTCCTTCGTGTCTTCTGTCCAATGACATAGGAATCACTTCATTTGGATATTTCAAGGGTGAGATATGGTCCAAAAATCAAATTGTCGCCAATCTGTGCGAGAATCTTGCTCTTGTGAAAAGTGATGAAATTTCACTGAAAATTTTGGATGCGTCAAGTTTTTTGCTGAGTCATAACCTCTTAGGTTGTAGCCCTTCGAGTCTTCTTTCGAATGGCGCAAGAATCACCTAAATATGACATTCCTAGAGTGAGATACGATTAAAATACTAAGGTGTCGCCAAATTCAGCGGGAATTACAAATCTTTGGTCTTTTGCTCCACTTTTTCCCTGTTTTGTTCTTGTGATCAAGTCCATTGAAAGTACTAGTCTTTCACTCTCTTTGAAGCATTTTAGCCACCTCCTTAGCTTCACCTTGACTTTGTTTTGGCTCCAAACTCGTCCTAAAACTTCCATTGCTTTTGCAATTGATCTACAATGGTTCGAAAACACTAACAAACACTGATAGGAATATTTTTGTAAGTTTTAATGAAGCCAAATGTACTTTAGATCCCCTTAGTTTTTAGGTCTTTGAGTATAAGCATCATAAATCAGAATAGCGAATCAAAAGGAATCTACCATAGGAAGAACAAAATTAATTTGAGAAATTAATTTTGGTCCTACGAGTATTCATCCGAGAAAGAAGCATAAAGGAATGGCGTTGCAAAGAATGACCGGATGAGCCTAACGGTGAAATGGTAGAAGTCCTTACTCAAAACGATCACACTTGAGATTGATTTCCCCCAAAGACTTATTTTTTACTAGTCAAATTTTCGGACAAGCACGATGTTCACCAAGGAGCACAATGCTACCAAGGAGCACAATGCTATCAAAAGAGCACAATGTATTAAAAAGAGCACGATGTGTGCTGACAAGCACAATGTGTGCTAAGGAGCACAATGTATCAAAAGGAGCACAATGTATCTAAAGGAGCACAATGTTCTACAGGAGCACAATGTGAACAAGCACGATGTGTCCGAAAGAGCACAATGTGACCAAATCAGAAAAGCACAATGTTCAAGTCAAAGGAGCACGATGTTCAAAGTCAAAGGAGCACAATGTGGCAAAGAAGCAAGATGATCAGAAATTGAATCAATTCGAAGGAATTTATTCCAAGTCTACCCACATGCCACAAGAATCCAAAATTGCTTGAAAGACATTTGATCAGAACGGAAAAATATTTATGAAGACATGAATATAAAAACTTATCCTAGAAATTAATTCTATCAGATGAATTTATTTCAAAGATACGTTGGATATTTAATATGACAACAAAATAATATTTTGAACAAATCAATTGGAGATAAGATATTATTTTGTCAGGCAAGTTGACAATCAAATCAAAATTGAAGACCTACTATTGTCAACAATATCAGGCTATGAAGATTCAAATTTCAAATATCAAATTATCCCACTCCAACGGATATATTTGATTGCCTATAAAAAGCCATGAAGACTTGAAGACAAAAAGTGTGTGGAACAGAGGTGAACAAGATAGACACGAGATAGAAGTGCAATACACACGAAAATACAAAAAGTGCAAGTGCTCAAATATTCTTAGAGACTTAGTCTGAATAGTCTCAAATCTAGTTGGAGAGAGATACAATTACCTTTGTATTTGTAATTGTAAAAAGAGTATAGCTGTGTGCAAAATACTCTAGTGAGTGTAGCTGTGTGCAAAACACTCGTAGTTGCTAAGTGTAGCTGTGTGCAAGACACTTAGTTGGCGTTGAGTATAGCTGTGTGCGAGATACTCGGAGTTGAGTGTAGCTGTGTGCGAGACACTTGGAGTTGGGTGTAACTGTGTGCAAGACATCCGGAAGAAGTGATTGTGTAGCGCTTATTCACTATTGTAACTATGTGTGCAAAAATAGTGAATTTCTCCTAGACGCGAAAGGAGAAAAGTGAACTAGGAAGATTACGCCACTTCTGAACCACTATAAATTGCCTCTCTCATTTACATACCGCACTTACATAATTTGCTCTATCTATCTATCTTATCCGACTAACCCATTTACTATTCACAATCAATCTTAATCGTTCGGGTTTAGTGTGTTTTCACGTATGCATGTGATTCAAACTTCTCAAGCTTAAATATTGAATTATTCTAAGCAAGTTTGACGTGTTGCATGTAACATTCATCACACGGTCGACGTGATACGATATTTATTTACAATCTTGAATATTGTTATTATATATTGAGTGAACCATCTCCTTTATATATTCAAGATCCCTCTGTCACTTTATTCATCTTACATGCGTATTTAATTCATTAATTGGGCATAACTCTTTACATACTACCTTTTCCGCTGTGCAGTTTAAACTTGCTCTATTTACTTGCTACTTAGAGTTGAAGTTACCAAAGAGTTATTTAATTTGTTAAAAAGTTTAGAAAATCTATTCACCCCCCCCCCCCCCCTCTAGACTTTCTACCACCCTATCGGGACCAACAAACACCGTAAAACATTTAAATATAGTGTAAAATCATATCTTAATGAGAAAACAATGGAATTTTGCATTTAAAGTAACATTTTCATGAACTTAAACCTCACAAATAGATTCAAACTAACACTAGAAACATATACAATTTGGCTCACATTATAATACACGTAGTATTGGGTTATCGATCCATAGGGAAGTGAGGTATTAAGAACTAGCTACTAATTTATTCACGAGAATATAATCGTAACGAAAGACATGATGGTTGATTAATTGCAAAACTAAACAAAAGAACAAATATGCACGTTTGGGAAAACAATTGAGAAATAGCTAGATTCCTGGGATTCAAGTATTTATTCACCTAGTGCCAAATTCAAGAACAATATTAAAATCTGAGCTTAACAAGTGTGAGAATGCAAACGGTAGATAGAGTTACTCCTGTAATCCCTATCATATGTAAATATTTACTCCCGTGATATAAACACCCAACAATAAAAGAACAAGAATTCATGATAAATCCCTAATTACTACCATTTCCCAATGTGCAACAATCAAGAATTAAACTCTGATCCATAACATATTTTCCCTCTCCCAAGGTGCAACAGTTAAGTGCAATTGTGTGTGCCCTAAATTATGCCCAACTCCTGTTGTGACACAGAGAAAGCTATGAAGCAAGTAATTACGGGCGTTAACTACTTGCATCAAACAATAAAATCACAATTGCAACACAAGTTATATCCCAAATAAAAATATATTAAGAATTATAGAACTAGGCACATAGGTTCATAAATACTTTCACCCAAAAATCTCTAAATTAAATTAGTCACACATGGCTAATATGCAATACATAGCAAATTAGAGTTTACAAATAATCTAAAAGAGTACAAGAATTAAACCAAGTGATTCTCCCAAATCTTCTTAGCTTTCTTCTTGCTTCCCAAGACAACTTGTAGCTCTCAATTCTCTTTTTTCTTGT